TGGAACGGATCAACGACTCCAGCACTAAACACTCCGATAGTTGGGTGTCCATTAACCCGACCTCAAGAGGCGCCACAGTGTGCTAACTGACAAGTTGATCGTCAGCATGTGTTTTCACTTATCAGTTGCTAGAAAAACAATTATGTATAGCAGCTTGGAGTTGGCCAATTGCCGAAAATTATAAAAATACTTGCACAATCTATCTGGCAAAGGGGATATATATACATATACATATACATAGTGAATGTAGAACACTATGTTTCTATAGTAGGTCGATGCAAAAGATATCCACAAATTTGATAGCGGAATGCAAATCGAGTAATCCAAGTGAGGTGGTTTGATACAGTTATCCCTATAATCCGCTTCGATTATCCACCTGATCGGAGCCAATCTCCGCGTCGATTCATTGTTGGTATCTGCACAATATCCAAGTATACAATGAATTCGCCTGAGTTTACAAATCCAATATGTCTAACGGCCGCTTTACCGTTAGGAAATGCGCTTGCGCGGGCGGGACTCGATTCAATCGTTTGAAAAACAAAAAAAAAAATACAAAAAAAACAGAAAATGCCGCCCAAAGTGTGCCAATGTATATAAACAACTGAAGACAACATACGTATAGCTACTATGTAAACGCCAGGAGTAGCAGATATCTCTTGACATTATTTCTCATTCACTGACAGTACATGCTCTGGCCCGGTATTTCATTGGAGGAAAAAAAGCTTCCTCTTTTGACTTCTTCTAGTCCACTGAAATTCAAATTAAAAAAAAAAACGTGTCCGAGTCTATAATAACCTCAGTCAGTTATACAATCAGTAAAATGATTACTATATGACGTCCAACGTCCATCTAATATTCTTTATATTTCAATCATCGCAAAATAGCATAAAAATATATTTCGAGTTGAGTGAGTTGTATTCGAAGCGTATAGCGAAGATAAGTCCATAAATTATGAGGTTGGCAGGTCGAGTACGTTACGAATTTATCATAGTCGAACATCTTTACGGCAACTCGCTACCGTCCATGTTCTCATCTTAAAGTTATAGAATGACAAACAGTGAACGCTATCGTTGATTCATACAAAGAAATTACTTGAGCGACAGCATTTTTTAATATTTTGATTCATTGCATAGATATCATCAAAATTGTCTGAGTGGTGATAATAATAATTATAGGATAGATGAGATAAATAATCTCATTGCACAATCTGATTATCATTAGGATCAAAAGGTGTATATTTAAATAATTATAAAGCTTTGTTCATTCAAATGACATAGCTGAGTGCACTAATTGACTCGAATTATATGTGTGAGAGTAAGAGGAGTGAACATGCGACAAAAGAGTCGATTAAATTGGTATCATAATATTTTCAACTATTTTTTCCACTTTCTGCCACTCTATCTGATCTTGAAAAATTCTCTATTGAGAATTTAATATAATGGACATTGAATAGCAGAATAAGGGAGACATTCCATCAGATATAGAATTACTATAGTAATCTCCTAAGGATTATTCCCCTAAATGAATGCGACAGAAGGGAAGACATGTAGAAATGAATAAACTCCAAAGAGTCCAGATGTTGATTGCGTGCCGATCACCACTTGATGTTAGGGTAATGAGGTGAAGCAGAAAATATAGATATACATATATATATATAGTCAGTCGCCCTGACCAGTCGTCCCTGTCGCACTCTTGGTAGGTTGGTCACGAGAGACAGGCGAAAGAGAAGGTATCTTCTCCGTGAAGGGATTAGTTGATGGCACGTGCCACAACCACAGGTGGCTTTTTTTCTTCATTCTTCTTCTTCTTCTCCTCCTACTCCTCTGCCAACTTTCGGTGTATATTCTTGCTTCAACACTACCCTACTTACTTTAATCATTTCCATACATGTCATTTTTTTTCATCTTGTGCTTTTAAAAAACCATCTTTTTCTGTTTTTTATTAAATGCTTGTTGCATTTAATCCAAGTCACCTGGTGATGAAGGTTGAAAGGGTTTTACTTACTATTATTTGGACGGTGAAAAGTGACTGAAAACAGTCGAGGAATTTCGTGGACCATCAGTGCTATTACAAATGTTTTTATTTAAAGATGGAAAAATAAAAAAAGCTCATTGCTTTATTATGATTTTTACTTTTTCCATGCATTTACACATTTGGTATGGCAATCAATGTAGTGACTCAACAAAACCATCAACGATGCTTTTAAGACTTGCTCCCTTATCTCCCTGCTATATGTACTGCAATTTTTCTTCATTACAACTTCACGTACAACTTCGTGCACCCGTCTCAAGCAGCAATATTTGTTCAGTTCATACACGACTATACTAAAACACATAAGCTGTGGAAAGAGGATCGATAAAATTATACTATTATAATATTTTTTTTATTGAAAAATTATTACATAGAACCAAATTGAGCGAATAATAATAATAATTAGGGGAAAATTTTGGTTGAAATTTTAAATTCCTTGATAAATTTGCAAAATGTTTCTGAGCAAATTTCTTGTATTGCTTTCTTACAGCTATTTTAGAGGCGATCGAATTTTCCATCAAAATTTTTTTCCAATGCAAAACGAAAAAAGTTATTGCTACCGGCGTAATGTCAAGAATATTCACCATCAATAAACATTGATTCCCTGAGAAAATCCATCACGAGGAAATTCCAGAGACTGCAATGGTATGTTGTAAGGGGAAAAAAATCAACGAAATAAATAGCAGAAAGAATCCTGGCCAATGTCGTCAGTTTATGAGCCGAGAAGTTATGCATTATGTATTGACTTGACTTTGGGTTAGCTTGGTTCAATTTTCAACCAGTCTACCATACAATTTCTCTACGTTGATGTATTTGGATGTAACTTTGTAGACGTTTTTATGTAGTTACGCGTGCACAGTATAGTATATTAGTCTGCAAGGGCAATTTCTCGATGCACATTGTCACGCATTGTTGAACCTTGAACGCGGCCATCACACCATGCAACTCAAATGAGCTGAGCAACCACCTGATCCCAAGACTCAAAGTTGCATGAATATGTGAGAGATATCTGTCCCTAGATTCAGCACAGATATACTATGTAGTACTGAATATAAAGCATCACTGATATAAAAACCATATGTTAGGATATGTTATATGAAATTTTATTTCCTTTCCATTTCCATTGATTTCATAATTTTGATATTTTTCCCATGGTCTTTGGCATCACAGAGCAAATAGGTCTGCAGCCAAGGGGTAGTTAGTAAAATGCACCGCATTCAGTGGTCATAAAGAATTGTTTAGCGATGCGTATGAGTATGCCCGTCTTGGAATCTGTTAGCAACTCCCACGGTGGTATATAGCGCTATATGTATACATATACATTGAGCTTGAGAAGGAAAGAGAACCAAGAGGAGAATGAAAAAAGGCAGGGTCTTTACGCGTCGTTGAAACGTTGACTCTACAGTCTCGCATAGTCTCTTTCTGTTCAACTTCTTCTTTGCACTATATATCTCGCATCATCATTGTTTTTCGCTCCTTCAACTTTACCTTCACAGTCGATTTTGTCTCACTTCCTCCCTTATATTCACTCATACCCTGCTTAGTGCTTACTGCACCCACTTAAATTCATCCACTCCACACCGGGACTTTACTTACGAGCCAGAGGGGCCATACTCGTGCAATCTCCACCAACGTTTATGCTCTGTATACATGTGCATGTACATATATACTCACTACGCTACATTCTATTCTCTATTAGATGAACTGTGAGCAAGTATCGACTAGTAGCTCACAGCTATGATCTACGAGAAAAAGTGGAAAAATTAAAGGAGCAAGCTCGCTTCTAGCTCTGCCGGAAGAGATGGAGATGGCAATGGAGGGAATTCAAAACTTCCTAATCAGCCCATGCCAGAGTCGTAACGCTTCGCTTTTCAAAGTTATTCGCATATATATTTATATTTCACTATGCTGAAACATTGACTTAAAACGTGGAAAGTGGATTCACCGCGGTCAGTTATATTGTTGCTTCGAGAGGTTGTAAATATATCCAAGTATACGATCCTCCCCCGATACTTTCGAAGAGTAGGAAATTCATGGCAAACAAGAGGCAAAATGCCCTGCCAACAGATTCTTTACCACATAACGTACGTATTTGTATTCTGTTGCGATTCTCCCAGGAAAAGTGAATTCGTTTATATACCGCAATGGATGTAAAATGCTTCCCCCTTGACCCCCCCCCCCCCCCCGAAACACTTGTTACCCTTCAAAATTTAGCATTTCTCCTGTTTATTTCCAATCGAATTTTATCCAAAATTTTACATCCTTATCACAGAGAAAATATCGTGCACTACAGGAGCTTTTACAGAGAAAGCACTTTCTACATGAAAAACAAAATGAAACAATAAAACCAAATAGTCAATGGTCATTTTTCTAGATAGCTTTGAATATTCTCATTCTCAAAACAAGTTATCTCAAGACTCTATATACTATACTAGATATACGCCGGGTTTCCGTTAAAGGTCGATCGGTGCGGATAACCGCCTATCTACTGGCGCAACCAAATTACACCTCTCATTCATCCTTTCATTCATTCCCTGAGATCTCCTGAATCCTACCAAGTCGACTAGTCGAGAGATCCAACGGGGACCTGTGCTGTATCTCTCAGTAATAGGCAAAAAAGATAAGTTCAAGGAGAAGCCATTACTGTAGCGCAAAAAGCAGAGAAATTATCTACCTCTGAGGATAAAAACCGTGACAAAGTGATTTTCGTATGGATGAACCACACAAAAAAAATATGTTTTTTCTTGTTTTCTTCCAATCCTTATTTCAAAGTAAATGACCGAGATGTGCGGTGCTGCCGCACATAGCTGCCCATTACCCAAAGAAAATTCATAAAATTGTTCAAAATCTATCTCTGTTCCAGCACAAGAGGACAATTTTACATTGGAATCGGGTTGATCCGAAACGGTGGATCAACTCAGTGCAGAACAATTGTATTACACCTGGTGGAGATTGTTTTGATTCGTGCTATGATCAGCATGGAGTTATCAGCCCACACGACGCAGCACGGCGCACTACATCTTGGCGTCGGTGTCAACCCGGGAGATCCCGCAGGTAGCGCGTTGGCCGCAATTCATTCTCACCATCAAGACTCATTGGGAATGAGCCACCAACATCATAGCCACAGCGGCATCGGGAACGGAGGTATGCATGAGGAGTCCAAGAAAAAACGTACGTTTCTTCTTACGAACCCCTATTGTCATAATTTTTACATTATATTGTTTGTTTTTCTATTGGCGGCTCAAGTGTTGTATATACATGACACGGCTCATCTCATCTAGGTGTGAATGTACTAATATAAAAACACTTGGAGATATATATATGTATATATATATACTAAAGTGATAAATTCCCAGATAAATTGCTGTAGACGTGAATGAAGAGATGAGCCGTTCACTATCCAACACGTAATTGGTCTCCTTCTTGTCCGCGTTGTCGACTGGATGCCAGAGAGGTTTATAAAGAAGAACTGCTGCCGCGAGCCTCGCTGATTTGTCCGTGTCGTGGTGTATACTTGATTTACGTTATCCCCCTCCCCTCCCCGCCCCTCCCGGCGACAATCACCAGTAATGAAATGCTCCCATACAATGTGTAAACTAGCATTCAAGTATTTCTCCCCCCCCCCCAATATCGCACTCGATTAATTATCATAAATAATGACGCACGTAATGAATGAAAAATTGAAAATGTATGGCGCTGACCCACAAGCTTTCAATCGTTGAAAGACAGCTTTGTTTTGTTGAAACAATAGTATTAGCGTATGTGTGCGCGGTTAGACTTGTTACAGTATTATATACTGTAGTTGAACATACACCAAAAGTTAATGATGGTATATATAGCTTCCTCTCTTCGTCTTCCTCTCCCTCTCCCCTCGTTGTCCAGTTGACTTAGATATAATACATATAAGGGATTCTCCCGAGACGCGCCTAGTTGGGCTTATATGAAGATGAAAGGACGCCGCCCTCTCTGTACTGTTGATCGTAAAGCAGAGTCAGTGACACTGCGTGTGATCAATATATCGTTAACTAACGTGATATCAAATATTTTACTTTTTGAAATGGACCACACACAACTTTAATCGTTATAATTATTATCCAATGCCGATGCGACGATGAGATTCATTATATATTTTCACATTAACCAAACCAATGCTATATCCTAAATTTGCAATAAATCTAGGATATTGTCGTAGGTATAAATTTAGCAATTCTGTTGTTCACGTCACAGTTATTTAGTGTCGGTGTATAGTTTTCTTGGACAACAAAAGAAAACAGGTAATCGTCTGGGCAGAATGAGTACCTAGACCACCGTACACTTTGAGCTGGCCGGAGCAAATTCTCGAACGCGTAATCCTTACTTATATTCAGCCACATAGGCCGCACAGCAATCTCAATGTAAAGTTCTGCATAGGATGAAGAAATAGAAAAATTTTCAAACTGGTAATACGCGCACCGGAGCGCGTGACGATTACAGGCGGTGCTGTTCGCTTATAAGATTCATTGTGTCCCCCCAATACAACATTTATATATAGTATATGTGCATGACAGGAGAATGCGGTGACGGGCCGTTTGTCGATCGAAATTCACATTGTACGCGAGTCGACCACGACGAGGAAGGCATTATATTATATATGCAACATTGCCATGCAATTTTTTAAAATTTTTAATTACTCCTCGGAGTTTATTTTTTACTATCAATCGATTTGTAATCGCCTCTCATATAGGGCAGCAGCCACACTATGTGAATATAATAACGTTTTTGGGGAGATCAAACTTACAATGTTTCACCCAACAACACAATGCTAATGACAACAGAATGATTGACAAAAATTTGAAGACTATCTAGTCGAGTAACAACAATTCCAAGAGATGAGTGATATTTATATATGAAGGCATCGCGGTCTAAGATAGTGAGTTTATTTATGGGGTTAAATGAAGAAACCCAGCGAGATGCCGCGATACCCGCGTCCCAGTACAAATAGGTTGCCGTGCAGGTTCCCATCGAGAGCCAACTCACTGGCATGTACCAGTTGTCATAAACTAACACGCCCTGGCGTATTCATCGCCCCCTATTCCCATATGCATTTTTTAAACTTGTTATTAAGCTTCTCATCTCGTGTCGGACAACGCCAGATATTCTATACTAAAATAAATACATTTTTATTGCCCAATAATTTATTCTGTTTTTCATTTTTTTGTTCTATCACAGATGACGGCAGTCACGGTGCCAATGGCCAGGATGGTGAGTTCACTTACAAGTGTATTCGTAGTTTAATAATCAAGGAGGAAGTTGCGCATGATATAATAATAAGGATGATCCACGATGTGCCTGAGCAATATGCTTATCAAATGTCCCAATGCAATGTCTTATAATGCAATATCCTATTAGTCAGAAACGTACGTTGTTTATCGGCCTCCTTATTCTTGTGTAAGCCACTATGCAGTGCTGTAAAAACGTCAATTTGCCATCATCCCACATTTACGCATTCTATAAAAGTAATTTATATCAACTAGATCAATTGAGGATTATCATATTATATGTAGTAGCTTACTTCCCCCTGCGAACTAGATCAACAAGTGCATTCCTGGCGCAAAAGTGACTGCTATAATACCTACTTAAAAGACAAAAGCAGAAAGTGAAATTGAATTTTATTCATACTCAATGTTGCACACGATGAAGAGTCCCCCCATGAACTTAGGGGGCGTACATGGAGTTGATGCACATCATCTTACAAATACTTGATACGGATACGGATACGGATACGGATACTATGCATGTATATGAACACGAGTATATGTATATATGTGTAGCCCTATAGCTATATCAGAGTTGGTGGGATTCACTCGCGTGTCTTGGCGTTCAGAGTGAGGTAATTTATGCCGATGAATTACATGCCAGAAACGTACAGTAGTATAGGTGGTGTGAAAAAAGAGTTGAAAATGAGAGAGAGAGAGAGAGAGAAACTTGATAAAAAGAAAGAAAGATGCACATTTATTGTAAGGTTTAAAGGGCAAAAGTTGGATTGTGAAGCAAGGTGTTGGACGCCTCTGCTCCTCTTGTAGTGCCTCTTCGGGCATTCAATATTCAACAGTTATTTACATTTGCAAATTGTTTACGTCAGGTCACGATGAAATCTGTCAGAGTTTCGTTTATCGTTCAGTCTCTAACTGCCTCCTCCCCGCCTGTTCAAGCCAGCGCCTCAGGGGGGCCGACTAGCATATATAATATATATGCTACTTGTTTCTTTTCCACTCACATATATTCCTTCGCTTGGTCTTTTGCATAATACGCACGAAATTATATTGCCCGTCTACTATTAATTCTCTTAATTCTTCCAAAAAACTCTATCTATAACGTCGTATTTACTGTTAAAAATAAAGGGAGGGGGGGAGGCAAAGAGGCCCGCCTTGATAAGAGAAAAAATGTCACGGAATTGTGATTCGATACGCAATTGAAATTTCCATGCAATTTGATTCGCATAAGAGAATTACCGATATATCGACTCAGTATGATAACCAAGGGAGATTGCATAGTGCATGCACATACATAGATCCAGAGATGATCATCATGGGGATCATTGGAGTCAGCGACTCTTTCATTAGTATCAAATAATCGTTCATCATTTTTGATAAAAACAATGACAAAAATAATGAAGCTCTCACTATTACATTGTAATGATGTGAAACTGTGATGCGGAAGCTTTCGTAAGCTTAGATTCACGATGGATTGAATTGATTAAGCGATGATAAGTCGCGCGTAGATGTCATAGGGAGAAAATGGTATCGATTGGTGTGAGGACACGAAATGACGGCGGGACACTTTGAAGAAACAAGATGCGTCACGGTGTGCTACGTGACGCGGCGGCGATTGAATTACTCGCTCGGGGTATCATGGCGCATATGGTTGTAGCTTGCAAGGTGATGCTGGTCTATGTAGGTTGACCAAGGGTGTGGCATTCTCTTGCTGTGCTGTGCAAGCGTATATTATTCCAAATCGACATCAACAAAAGAGAAAAAGAGAAAAAATTGCTCTGGAATTGTCTCAATAAAAAGTATTCATATTTCAACCCACCTATTGACTAAAAACTGATTTTTTAACAATCTATATACATCCAGCATACTTTTTCATATTTGTATGTATGACCCGTCATCCATCAGCCATCAACGCCTCACACATGGCTTCCAACCAATCAACATGCCGCAAAGGCTTGTAAGTTGTTGGTTACATTTGCTAATAGTTCTCGACGTATGGCGTCTCTTCGATACTTTACTTTGTTGACTGTGGTGGGAAAAAACAAGATGGTCGTTGAGCATGAGTTTTGTCAGGCTTAGGTTCCAATTTAAAAAGTAATCTCAAGCAAACTTGTTGCTGTATCAATTCGCTATAGAGACTGGGTGGATTTCTCTACACGTCCTTGGTAGCCCATTAAGTCGCGAGAAACCGTTACGAAATCGATCTTGATAACGGCTTCAGAGTCACATGTGGATAAGTGCCAGAAGAGTATGACAAGCGAACGCGTACACCGTACCACCCCACCCCACTCCACCATACATTGAGAAAAACGAATGTTTGCGAATGCTAAATAAAAATGCTAAAAAAGCGTATATTTGTGGCTCATGTTTATTGGAGTATCGATGGAAAATAAAATATTCTCCATTCAGGTTCACGTGATTAACTCTCAAAAGAGCCACTTGATGCTCTAATGAATACGTCTTGTAAAAAATAATTAGGAGGCACTCAATATGTAAAACATGATAATTAATTACGTGACTGTACCATGTGAGGTTCGTTGAACAAGCGATAGAGCATGACGCCATCAAGCTAACTCGTCTAGGTAGAACGCCGGCTAACTTTTCTTAGTCTGTTTGTCTGTCTGTCTGTCTGTCTGTCTGCCTGTCTGTTTCTCTGGTGATGGTCCAATACACCAAGTAGTCTACTATGATCATCACTATTCATCAGGAACGATAAAGTAACGCAGTAACGATGGTGCTAAGAGAATCCCGCTCTCTAGCTGAACAAAGAGCAAATACCGCGAGACATTTCGCCAAATAATGAATCCGTCTCTGTTCCACGTTTACGCTTCAACTGATTGCAAACTGGTTTTTTGTGTGATCATCCAAGCGTTCGATTAATGGACGCGCGTGATAACCGATGCGATTCTTCCATGCCGTTGTATGCTGTATATATATGTATATATATATATTCAGTGTTTAGCACAGATTATTAGTCACCTTCATTGGATATATAGACACGTGCTCTGAGAGCAGGTGTCAAAATACTTTTTCTCTATTACTGCTGCTTGCGTATTGGATATTTTTCGTCCATAATTCCATACAAAGCCAATAAACTCCTCGCTAAGAAGAGCATATACGAAATCAATATAATGCTAGTCAATCGATCATTTAATTCTTCGGTAGTCAAGAGCATGAGAAAAAAAAAAAGAAAGAAAAGCCCAGAAATACTTGCAGGAGGATCAGATATAGATGATACGATGGATCACCTTTCGACCTGCCAACGCCTCAGGTGGGCTGTAGAGACGTGCCGGAAGAAAGTGCGTATATGTCAGCGATATGTTCTCGGAGCATGGATGAAAGGTAGAGTCCCCATGAAATTGTGCTTGCTATATGACATTTGATCAGATAAATCTCACTGGTCATATGGAGAGAAGCGAACTTTATAATCCAATTGGAATATGAGTATATGTAGCATAGCACACCATCATGGTGTGTCTTCAGGTGCCTAGGAATTTTATCAGTGGAGAAGTGTCTGACAAGTTGATTTTTCAAGTCTTTCAAGAAAGAACAGATGGAAAATATATTGATTATTTCCAGAGATGAGATGAATATCAATTCACTAGATTGTTTTCGACTGACTCTCGACTGTCACTCTTTTTGTCTCTATGTAGAGTCAACTGCAGGCTCAACTGCCAACCGAATGAGTCGAGAGAAAAATAGAAAAAAGAGCACAGTTGCAAGTACATGAAAAGTACAGGATGTACGAAAAAGTATAGAGAGTATGGGAGTGGAGCACACAAGAAGAAGCAGAAGAAGAAGAAGGAGAAGAAGAAGCACAGTTGGAGGAACGCGAACGGACGTAGACAGACGGGCAGGGGCAAACATAAATTAAGATGGGGGACTGATTATGAGGCCAGTGGGGGCAGGCTATCATTACTCCAAGCCATCGTGACCGGTCGACCCTGCGCCGCCGCCGCCGCCGCTGCCGCTGCCACAACCGCCACAACCGCCGCCACCGCTGGTGAACACACCGTCCGACTCTTCTTTTGCTTTTACCATTCTTTGTAATATTTCTTCTAGTGCTGGTGCTCTCCATTCTTGAGATCTCGTTCGACTGTATGCCGTGTCTCGTGCCCCGGTAATTCCAGAGTGGCAAACTGCAAATTATTAATCTCTACTCATTGCTTTACATAGCTCAACCAGCATTAAATAAGAATTGTTCAAAAGGAAAGGATCTACTCCATCTCCTCGCTATGTCTCTCAAAACCAAAACTCTCAGATAATTATCTTTCATCGTTAGGGATTTTTTTCAATAGCTTTCCTGCTTGAAGCATTGAAAAGAAGAAAAAAAAGAATCACAACTTGTTTATAAGTTGGACCGTCTCTGGTGTCGGTTCTCTTATCAAGAAAATTTTCATTCCACTTTCAATAGATATCATATTAGCTATCCTGTTTATTCACTCGACGTTCACTTTTACTGCACAGCATTTGTATAAAATTTGTTCGTACCTGATGTCATTTTTAGGACGGCGTACAAAGTACCATACGCGTCATTTATGATAGATTGATGAACATTTAGTATATATGTCTGCAAGAAGGCGTAGTTGAAAGAAAAATTTTATTTCACCTCTGTCGTCGATTTTCGTACAATCCTATCACCAACAAGTTTATATATTGAGTAGTATAAATGTTTTCACAAACACTAAATTGAAGTGTAATGAAAAGGGGCAATTGTGAAATGAAAGTCCGACCGCGGCCACTGAGTAGTCATGCTGACCTTTCGCCCTGCACATAGAGAGGAAATTCAATCTTTCATTTCAGTTTCTGCTACCGCTGTATACTTCTAACTAGTCGAAAAAACATACAAAATAACAATACACAATACATTGGGTTATTATTGGTGGTTTTTCGTGGACTTTCGTGGCAGATTATATCTACAGAGTGCTATATATGTAATGTAATGTATATATGAGCAGAGTGGGATCTAAATGTTGGTGAAACTATGAG